ATTTATTTATCTATTTATTTATTTATTTTGCTACTGATTGGTGTGCCTGTTTTACTTCTGAGAAGCTCTAAACATTCTGTGTAGACTCTTTGACTCACATTGACTCCTCTGCTCCAATTTTTTTTTGTTCCCAGACCTCAAGTAGTATAAAACTTTATGTTCAGCTGTACCTGAACCCTACCCTATCTTTCCTCCTTAATATTTTGGTATGTCTTTTTGTGCTATCACAGATGAGTATATGATGTATAGCACCTACTTTAATTCTGGTTTGATATTTTCACAATATGAAAATACTAAAAAAATTGTCTAGACCTAAAGAAAGATGTATTTTCATATCTGATGTCTTCCTGTTATGTTTTGTCTGTTCTGGTTAGAGCTGATGATGAGTTGTAGTCAGTGTCAGGCAGGAAGAAAGAATTGGTAGTATTTTCAGATGAATTATTGATCTTATTTTCAGGGATCCTTTGTTTTATACTTCACAAGGCAGTATTGGCTCCCTATCTCCTAGAAATGACAAGGGAAATTTCTGAGGCAATTTAAAACTTTTTTAAAAATGGGAGTATGGATGCGGTAGGTGGACCTTGGGCTCCAGGATGGCAATCTTTTGAACTCACAGACTGTACTTTGCTCTTGTACAATCATGGTTAACCCCGGGCTTCTAGACTGCATACGGTTGAGGCCATTGTTGTCCCCAACCTCTTTGCTTCACTGATTTTGTCATCAAATTATATACAGTATATATATATTTTTTTGTTAATGACTTTTCCCAGTTTGATACTGACACTTGATAGTATGGGGGTGGGGGTGGGGGTGAAATTGGACTCAGGACCTGCTGAGGTTGCTCTAGTATCTCTGTCTTTCTTCAGAGCATTTATTTAACCCCTTTCTGCCAAGCAGGGCTCTCACAGTGGTTTACAAAGTATTAAAAACATCATCATCATAAAAAATAGATTAGAGGAACTGTTCATCAGGTAAATCACAGCACTCTGGCTTGTGCTTTTGCCTTCTGTGTTTTGATAAAATTGTGTGCGACAACAGGCCTAATCCGCTGTTACCTCCCCAACTGTGATCAGTAAACTTAGGGCTGAGTGAACAGACTCTTCTCTTTCCATTGCGGATAATGTTTCATTTGAAGGGGAGAAACTCTTGCTCATGTGGGCTCTTTGCACACATGAATAAGCTCATGCGGAAAGCTTACACGCAAGCACCATTTCCTCCCCTTTAGACATATAATCACTCTCAACACAGAGAATGTGATCATGGAGGGAGGAAGGGCTACTAATTGTTTGTTCTCTAACTGTCCATAACAAGCAGGAAGGTAATGACTGAATAGGGCTTCTGTCAGTCTGAGAAACAAAGGTGAAACCTACAAGAGAGTTATACTTCAACTGGGACCAACCAAACGTTCTCATAGCTATGAGTATGGTTTTGAATCTTTCCAAATTCTTCTTCTGATTGGACATGTAGCAGGGAAAGGGAGAGGAAGAAGAAAAGGCATAATGTAAAAAATTCAGTCTTCACAGTTTGTAATGGTATTAAGAGGGACTCGGGCAGCCTTTATTAGTTTAATCTCTGCAAGGTGCTAAATATGTCTCATGTTGCCTGGAAGGCAATTGGTATTTATGTTCTCCCTACCTCTGCTGTGGCTTTTGAACATACACAGTGTCAGAAAAAATGAAGTGTGTGTCTCAAGAGTGTACATGCCTTCTGAAATATGAACATCCTGCCCTTCCTCCCAATATTTCTTGCAAAAAACATACATGCAACATTTGTTGTCTACTTAGTCTTCAGCTTTCAGTTTGGAAAATCTGTTCCTCAAGGTATCATTACTTGATTATTGCAATTGTTATTGCTATCATTTATATTTACAAATAATCATTATTCATTGCAGTAGAATCAATGTAGCATAATGGTTAAGAATGTTTATTTATTGTTCAGTTTTGTATCCTGCTCCCATTAGGCACTACTCTGAACAGTTACAACCCATAAAAATAAAGAAAAAAATGTTAAGCCACAACAATAACCCTAAAAAACATATGGCACAGACTAATCATATAAACTGAGAGCAGTCGGAAGAAAAGGGAGGTGGGGAAGGTGGTCACCTAGGGTCATTGTGGAAAGTCTCCCTGAAAAACAATGGCTTTAACTGCTTCCTAAATGACAACAAGGAGGGGGCTAGATGGAGCTTCTCCAGAAGCTGGTTCCATAAAGTTGGAGCCATCACAAAGAAGGCCCTATCTCTTGTAGAAGATTTATAGACCTCCCTTGGGGTAGCCACCCTGTACAGCCTCAACTGGGATGACCTTCTAGGTCTGGGATGATCTTGTGTTGGACTAATTCTCAGGAGATGTGGGTTCAAACCCAGCAGTAGCAGTTAACATTATATTAACAGTTTCAGTGTTAACAATTAAAAATCCACACATGAGAGGAAAACAGTTTTTGTTTTTTTCACATGTAACTCACTTGATTTGCATTTTTCATCAGTACCCTTCAGAGGCTTGCCTTAAACGTTAGATCATCAAGGTGCTGATTTTATGGTAGAGGGATTTGCAAAAAAAAAATCCCTCTGAAAATTAATTTAAGCTCTAAAGGTAAATTTTAACTCATCCATCTGTTCTGTGATTCATTTCTGGAGTATGTGATGCAGTTGCTCTTGAACAGATGCAGAGTGCCAGAGGAAAAACGAGTGATATTCATACATCTGGGAGGTAGAGAGATCTGAGTTCTTAAAGTGTTTGACTTTCTCTCTCTCCCCCCATGTGTGTATGTGTGTGCACGCGTGTGTGTGTGTGCATGTGTGAGAGAGATGTGTGCATGAGGGGAGTTGCTGCTGTAATTCTTGTTTAACTTAGAGAAGCATCAAACAGAATCAGACCCAAGACTATGTTGCTACTCTGCTATAGAAGGGTCTGCATAAACTGTAGCACTAATCTTGTGCTTGTGGTATGGATAAAGGCCTCCCCAACTGCCAGATTTGAATCATGTTGCACTCTATTATAGTGCTGTCCTTCTA